CAGTATATTACTTTTTCGTGCAGCAACATTTTATTAATTTATATTTATTTAAGTGTATAGAAAAAAGAACAAACTGTTCTGCAAATACAAAATTACACTTTCTTTTATAGAAAAAGTTGATTTGTTTCAGTTTTTCTCATATTTGTAGAAAATATGCAGTTCATTTAGAAATAAAGCATAAAGTCACTCTAACATCTTAAACATTGTGAATATAAAAACTGACCAATTTATTAGATATTGAAGACATAAGTGTTCTCAAATAAAAGGCCGTAATCTTCATATTCTTCAACTGCCACCAGGTTTTTATTTGATGAAAATCTTTATTTCTATTCCTCTGCTTGTTAGTGACAGGCCATATTTTGATGCTTTTAAGTTTATTCATGTTCTATTGATGCACAAAACCATTTTAAGATTTTACTGTATTTGGCCTCTTGCACAGTTTGGTGTGTTTTCTAACAACAAAGTGTTTTTGTGAGTGAAGGACCTCCAAATGATCCTTGTCCTGTGCGATTTAAGAGCAGATGAGCTCAGCAGGATTTGTCCTGTGATTTTGTCACCGAGTCCTTTGGCTCCACATTTACACTGTTACAGGTCAATAAAGCACTTAATTACTGCACTGCATCTTCAGAATAAAGCGCGCCACATTGCTCAGGATGACTTCAACACAACGTGTCGGCTATTGTCTGAGACCTTTCAAACATGAAGACTTTTTTTTCTGCACTGTGTACAGAATATCATCCATATTATGAGTGGATTATTTTTCTTCCTGCAGTTTAATCAGACAGGGCATGGCAGTGTGTGCAGCCAGGCCATCATGCTTGTCACTGATGGAGCAACTGAAATGTACGATGATGTTTTTGAGAAGTACAACTGGCCGGAAAGAAAAGTGAGTTTTGACCTCCTTTTTTTATGGTTCACACTTTGTGTGATTTACGTTGAACTTTTTGCTTGCACTGCGGTTTTCCTGCATCAAGGCTAGAGATGCATTTTAATCCACCTCCTGTTTGATGTTGTGAGCAATTGGATTCTTATTCCATTAATACTTAGTCATGTAAAAAGTGTGAGCTTTTTGTCCAGGTGTTGGTGTATTGCAACTCAATTTTATCCCTCAGTGGGAATAAAACATTGGAAATTAAAAGCTTTCAAAAGCTATGCATGTTTAAATTTTAAATCTGCAAGGCTCTACTCCCCCTACCCCACTCCTGTGCCCTCCCCGCAATTGATCCCAGCTCACCGTTGACTTTAAAATCCTTTGTCTGACCACAGTTGTTATATCTAAATGCAATTGAAAATAAATTAACAACTGTGCTGTTCACAGAGCAATAAAAGCAACAGCCCGAGGGCTTTTGTTCAGTCCTATTGGACATATGTGTGTTGGCAGAGGGTTTGGCAAAGCACAAGGCAGTGTTTGGCACCCCAACCCCCCACCCACTCGGTCCACACACACCCTCAGGGCTGCTATATGGCAGCCATTCAGTGCTTTCTATATGCTTTATGCTTAGCAAAGCATCTGGAGGCAATGAGCCGTGCAGGTCTGGCAAAGTGTCACACAGTGTTCTCCAAAGGGACAGTTGCACATGCCCTCATCCCCAGACCCCAACGAAAGCACATTTATTCATTTTACTGCAAAATGCACAAAACAAAAGTACAAAAAAACAACAAATGTACAAAAGTTTATAGCTGCTCTTAAACGTTAAGTGGACCTTTACGTTTCTTTTTGCTCTGAAGCCAAACAGATGAAGCAAAGCGAAGCGGCCTCACTTCATATGCTTTTTGTTTTTTAGGTCTTTAAAATGTTGTCATCTGTTCTTTGCACAGGTGCGCATATTCCCCTACCTGATTGGACGAGAATCTGCCTTTGCCGATAACCTCAAATGGATGGCTTGTGCCAACAAAGGTTGGAGACTTTTCTGATAAACTTTTTCAATGAATGGAAACGTTTCAATGCTTCTCTGCATTCATATGCACGGAGGTCTGTGGGGTTCGGTTGTGTACGTCTATTTTGTGTGTATTTGTGTGCGTGCTCGCTCAAACTCCCTCCGCCAAGAGGCAATGAAGTGTCACTTGAGGGTGTGAGGGCGGGGGGTGAGGGGTTCGGAGGTCAATCCGCTCTAATCCCTCTTCCTGTCAGTGTCTACCTCGTGGCTGCTCACAGCTGATGGCTCCCACGTGTCAGCGCTTCGGATGAGTGCTCTTTGAAAAGGAAAGTCACGGGCAGGAAAACTGATCGCACAGGGATTGTAGAATGACAAGCCCCAAATCTCCTCCCCCACCATGAAATAACCTTACATGTCCAATGTGAAACATTAAGATCTGTGGGAGCTGACTCCAAGGCAAGGATCTCTGTGCTGCTGTAAAACCTGAAGCACATTTCAGGATATTTGCCAGAAACTTCAGCGTTTCGGACAAAAACAAAATACATATTTGACCGCACAGATTAGAGGAACTCTAGAACTGAATATCTAAAAAGTGCTCCACAAATATTGACACCAGCCTGGGATTATTTACTGATGATCCAATTTTACAAATAATAAAAAAAAATGCAAATCTCATTCTGCACTTAAGTAACTTAATAAACAACTAACATATATGAACACTGATTTCATGGTCTTTGCTTGTTTGTTTGTTGGAAACAGCAGTGGCATTAGAGAACATTTAAAAAAAGAAAAGCTTTAGCATTAACTCAGAGTCAACCAGTGGTGGGATGTAAATAAGCACAAATACTTCGTTACTGTATTTAAGTACATTTTTCATGTATTTTTACTGCACTTAAGTAGAGTTAAATGTGGATATTTTCTACTTTGTACTTTTACTCCACTACATTTTACATTAAGTATATGTACTTTCTACTACATTTCTATAATGTGTTACGTTACAAGTTACATTCACATTGCATTTTTTTATTTGTTCGTTCGTTTTAAAGTGACCAATGGCGAGAGGGGAGTTGGTCCATTGAGTCACTGCAAAGTGAGCAGGTAACGTTAAACCCATCTTCAAGAAGAGCTGGGCCAATGACTTATATTCTAGTATATACAGTACATCATTAAGCTGGGTGCACCCACAGCACCACTAACACACCCAAAATTGATACCACCGTGGAGAGTCAGCCAGAAGATATGTCCTATGGCCTTATTGAAAGATTATTGAAAGATTATTCAGTACAACAGGACAGATTCTCTCTCCCAAAAGAGCCAGACTGGACTCAAAAAACTTTGGAAAAACAACTTCTGAACTTGAACAATGAATTCTTGCTGCAATATTAAAATGTGTCAGTTCATGTGATATTAGGACAGGAGACAAGAAATGTCTCCAAATGGCTCGACACTCAGGTCCAAGTTTTGAAAACGGTGTCAGGAGTTAAAGTACTGTTCGCTATTGACCCATTACAAGTGTGACTAGACAGTATTTTAACTAGAGTTAATGAGTAACTGGAATTGAAATGATCAGAGCCTAGTCCTTTGTTAGGTCTAATGCTCCTTTTTTCAGGCAGACATATTTTACTTTAATGTGTTTACTGCTCTTAAAAAGACACATTGGTTTTGATTTGTGTTAAATAAAAACTTTCAAAGGTATAATTATTCCTCTTTCTTATTTTGTTTAATGGCATTTCACTCTGCATGTCATCCCTGAAATTCTGATGCACAGAATTACAAGTCCAAGTGTGAACTGTGTCACACAACAAAAGCATACATTATCTGCAGCACTGTTCATTAAAGTGTCACAAGATTAGTAATGTATTACAGAAAATATAAATACAGTAGACACACTTAATGATATTGTAGACCATTGCATTACGTAATACATTCAGCAAGTACTTTTACTTTTTATACTTTAAGTATTTTTAAAAGCAAGTAATTATTTACTTTTACTTAAGTAAAAATGTTGGTACTTCTACTTTTACTAGAGCACATTTCTGTCTGTTTATTTGTACTTTTACTTAAGTACAGTGTTTGGGTACTTTCTCCACCACTGGAGTCAACCCTGTTTGTTTTTTACTAGTATACTTCATGAACTGCTGGACGGGCTTTGATGAGACTTTCAGAAAGTTATGGGATTAATAAAATTCTCTAAATCTGAATTAAAACCTGAAAATTCAAGATGTCTGACAGAGCTAATCACCGACTAGCCAACACTAAATACATACAATATAATACAGTTCATTTTAGATTGTGCTAATATTCGATGTGGTAGTAGTTGAGAGCCATCCATAACACATACTCTGAACAAACATCTTACAATATTTCATAGGTACCTAATTGTGGCTGCTAGTGTTTACCCCACCTGGAGAAGCAGGATGTGGGAGGAGCGGGTGAGGAGCTGGATTTGTATTCAGTTAGGGAGAGAGGAGGGGCCCCGTGGGTGAAAGAGAAAACACCAGGCAGATTTTCAAGTTTAACACTATATAGTTTATATCGATATATAGTAGTCCCTTGTTTATCGCGGGGGATCTGTACCCCGCAGCCCCACGATAAGTGAAAAGCCATGAAGTAGGAATAGTAGTACAAGTAGTCAGTAGTAGTTTTATTTTAGTATATATATATATATATACATAAAGGCATTTTAAACCCTTCCCACACTCTTGCAATACTCTAAACAATGTTTCTAAACTCTAAATGCTCTAAAAGAGCACAGAATATCCTGATTTCAGGTCCCTGCCTCGGCTACTCTCAGCCACATGCAAGCGCTCTTGGCCACGCCCACTTCACCTCTCTGCACGGAGATCAGCTGATCAGCTGCAGAAGCTTATCCTGCTATGTGGGCTGCACAAAGATGCAGCAGTTATTAAAATAATTGAAAATAATTTATTTTAAATAAAAATTCCATGCCAGTTGTGCGGCTCATCCATCAATCAGCCAATTGTGTGTCATGACCAGTCTTATATTGGAAAACCGCAATAGAGCGCGTCCGCGATAAACGAACTGCGAAGTAGCGAGGGACTACTGTAGTCTCATCTTATATCATGTATGAAACTATCTCGATATTGTTAAAATATCAAGGTATCGCCCAGCCCTTATAAATATATATGTATATGTTTATATACTTTTTAATTGTAACTTGTCATTTTAAATATAATAAAATAAAATTTGTTTTTAACCAAAGTTGTTGCTAATTTTGACAAATTCAGCTGATGTTGGTCTCAGGTCTCTCTTGTAAATGAGTCCCCGAGGCTCAATGGGATTAACTTGTATAAATACAGGTTGAATGAACGAACAAGAGATTCAATGTTTGACCAAACGGCTCCATGTTTGTTATCAACATAAGATGATCTTGGTCTAAAAGTGAAGTGAAAGGCATGTGATGTGCATTCCTTGAGGAATGCTATCCTTTAATTTATTATTGATGTCATTTTTATGGGCAAACGAGAAGAGCTTGTGAGCTGTATATGACCCACCGGACACCAGTTGATTATCTCAAGACTAAGTTTTAGTGTTTTTAACAGATTTTGAGCACAGCTTTACTCTAAGTTGGTCCAGATTAATGCCTTCCTCAACTGTCAACGTTTTGCCAGCTCCTGTGTTAAAGTAGCAGACCATTTATAATAAACTAAGTGTGTTTTATTGCAGGGTATTTTAGTCAGATCTCCACTTTAGCTGATGTTCAGGAGAACGTGATGAGGTACCTTCATGTCATGAGCCGTCCAAAGGTCATCGATCACGAGCACGACACAGTCTGGACCGAGGCTTATGTGGACAGTGCTGTGAGTACATCACGCTGCAAACTGTTTAAAGATGAGGCTTCATTCTTCACATATATTAATAATTAGTGTACTTGCATGCTTGACAAGCCAGCAGAGATCTGTTACAGTAAGTCTGTTCAGATAAAGTCAGAGGTTTTTGTTCGTAGTGTTGCTTGTGCCGTAAAGTCGGCAGTCGTGCAGATCTGCTCTCTCATCATTATTCTTTATGCTCCCTTTAATGATTTCTGATTATGAGCTTCATTAATCTGCATGCCCCCCCTCCCCCCACCCCCTTTCATGTATGCATCTGTTCTCACGACGCCAAAGCAAAGTACTTGACTTTAATTCACTGACAATTCAATCTTTATGTGTCCTTTCCTCCCTGTCAGCTTACTCACGCTCATAAGGTAAATATTTCATCAGCATGTTTCGTTTGATTAAAGGCCCGCTGCAGACAGTTCTGAAGCACTGGAGGACCAGAGATGGGATTTTGTTCAGAGGAAAAAGGTTTTTCTCACATATTTAGGATCTATGGACTATACTGTATGAAACAGAAGCGACTTGAGTGGGGGGGGTTAAATTTAATAATAGCTGTCGTGTTATTTCCCAGGAAGTTTTAAAGTGTTAGGAGGTTCTGAGGCAGGAACAGCGAAAAGGCATTCATTGTGTTTCACTCCTGTTTGGAGACAATCTACACAATAAAACGCATGCACACACACGCACACACAAAAGGTTTTGGGAGATTGTCCTCTGAAGTGTGTGCTCTTGTATCTCAGCCCCAGACACACCATTCATCATTCTGTGGATCATTGCACTTTATCTTCTAAAGCCCATAATAAAACTGACATTGGAGAGGAGACCAAGAAGGAGGAGGAGGAAGAGGAGGATGGGGAGGAGGGTGGGGGGCAGTAGCCATAGGTTTACATGTTAGTGGAGACTAAAGCAGCCCAGGTTTTTACCTTTGTGTGTAATGATGAATTTAAGGGCCCTCCATTCTTCATGTTGTCAAGCCTGCTTGTACACACAGCTGTTCACAGTGGTTTGACTTCATGCACACACACACACACACACAGGTGAACATCATCCACACACTCAGACTCACACACAGGTGAACATCATCCACACACTCAGACTCACACACAGGTGAACGCAGGTACTCAGCTGTATCGACTCACAAGGTGAAGGAACAACAGATTCTCTTTACTGATGTTTTAGTGCTTTTTTTATTTCAGCTTTATTCTGATGAGAACTCATGCTTTAAGAGCTTTCTTCAGGGTCATATCGTATTCATGGTTTTTACTATAAATCCTTCTTTAGGTTCTGATTTCATTATATTTAACGCAGGGCCGGCCCAAGCCTCCATGGAGCCCTAAGTGAAATTTGGTTTGGGGCCCTCTATTTTAGCTAATAATGTGGATTACTGCAATCAACAGTCAGCTGATCAGATCATTCACCCACCTAACATAAATTCATTGCAATTCTGATAGACCTGTTTACATTATCCTATGTGTATAGTGGTACTGAAATTAATAAATACATTTTTAAAACACCAGTATGCAATATTTTTTATAGAAAAAGTTCCATCTGGTTTATTATCATTGGTTCCAGTAATATTCAAAATAATTTGTAATGCAAAATCCACAACAAACAACAGATAAAATAAGTTGGATGCATAAAAAATAACTTAAATTGTGCAAAAACAGATAAAAGAAAATATAAAATATCAAGGAAATACTTAAATAATGTAAATGGACAATGAAACCACGTCAAATGGTTTAAATAAAGAAATTTAAAGTTGAATAATTAGTTCTTAAAACTATGTAAATGTACGCAACAATTTGCAAAAGCTGAACTTAAAATATTAAATAGAATCACATAGAAATCATTACTAAAAAAAAACTATTGCACTTAGGGGGGGCCCTAGTGGCCCCGGGGCTCTAAGCAGCCCTTTAGTTTGCTTATGCCCTGATTTAACGCAAGAAACAAATTCTCTTTTGTTTTGTAGAAACCTCTTTTTTATGTGTGATAAAAATAACTCAATATTTTGTTCATTTTATTGACGAGTCCTGAAGCTCTTTATTTTCCTCCCAACCTAAACATTCAGTGTGTGTGAAAAAAATCTTAATGCCTGCCTGCTATTTGCACTTCAGGGAGGGGAAATCATATATAAACAACAAAAAGGTTAAATCATGTCATCTGGACCAGAAATCAAATATAGTGTTCGTGAAACTCCTTCCTCAGGACTCAGTGCTTGTTTGTCCTCTGTGGGCTGCTGGTGAATTATTGCAGTACAGGATGATGGAGTGGTAAGAAGTCAGACTTGCTGTGTTTTTCAGATACAATCATCTTGTTCTTTAAGGTAATAAAATCAAAATGATTGTCAACAAAAGAAACAGATGTTTGATCGCATTTAATGGAAAGAACGCAGGCTGCCCTGCTGTTTGAAGCTCTCTGTGTGACGACGTTTTTTGGAAAATCTGCTTTAAGGAAACATCTTAAAGGAAGAGAGGACTTGTAAATAGTTTTTACATCAGGAATGACATTGTACGAATTGGACATTTTTCATTGAGTAAATCAGGAATCAACTTATGTAGATTCTTTGTAAAAGAAATAATTAAAGGCAAAATATATATATCAGAGTCAGAGTCAGAGTTTCTTTATTGTCATTCGCACCTCATGTGGTACATGTGGTGGAGCGAAATTATGTACACAGGGTCCCAGTTACATCCAACAATAAAATGTCTAAGAAAAACAGTAATAACATCTAAGATATGAACTAAGAAAAACATCAACTAAATATACACTAAGCACTCATAACATAAAACATTGAACATCAGCACAAACATGAACATGAGTCTGTGTGAGCGGATGTGCACGCATGAACACATCAACATTGAAACAGATCAGCAGCAACATGATATGGTTTTTCACAGTGATTATTCTGGTTAGAGATTCATGAGTCTAACAGCCTCAGGGTAGAAGCTGTTCCTCAGTCTAGTGGTTCTACACTTAATGCTCCTTAACCTCCTTCCTGAGGGGAGTGGGGCAAAAAGTGTGTGTGCTGGGTGAGTGGGGTCCTTCATGATGCAGGTGGCCCTCTTCCTGCATCTGGAGGTGTAGATGTCTGTGATGGTGGGGAGACTGATTCCAACAGATTTCTGTGCAGCCTTCACCACTCTCTGCAAAGCTTTTCTTTCTGCAGCTGTGCAGCCTCCATGCCACACATTGATGCTCGAGCACAGGATGCTCTCCACTGCACACCTGTAGAAGGAGGTGAGGACTGAGCTTCCCAGACCAGCTCGCCTCAGCCGTCTGAGGAAGTAGAGTCTCTGATGAGCTTTCTTGATCAGGCTGGTGGTGTTGTTGCTCCAGCTGAGGTTGTCATTCATGTGTACACCCAAGTACTTGTAGCTGGAGACCACTTCCACCGCAGATCCTCTTATGTTCAGGGGGGTGTAGGTGTTTTTGTTCCTTCTGAAGTCCACAATCATCTCCTTTGTCTTCTTCACATTGATGTGAAGGTTATTCTCT